CTCAAACTCAGAGATCCCCTTGCATCTGCCTCCTCAATGCTAAGATTAAAGACATGTGCCACCACACCCAGCTTATATGTATGTGTGTATGTAATGTACATATGTATGTATGTGTGTATGTATGAATATAATCTGAGGCTATATCTCTGTGGTAGACTGTTTGTCTAACATTCAAGTCTCAGTTCTGGAAATCTGCCTATATCCCTGTGATAGTGCCTAGTTTTTTTTTTCACTAAAAACAAGCAAACAAACACCTTTCAAAGGCTAGCAAGGAGGCTGGAGATGTGACTCAGCAGTTAAGTTCACCTGCTTTCAGAGCTTCCAGAGGACCCTAACTCTATAACCAGCACCCATGTTGGTGGCTCACAACTGCCTGTAACTTCAGCTCCAGGGATTCTAACACTGTTTTCTGGCCTCTGCAGACACCACACACGTGCCACATCAACATACAAACATAAAGAAAAATTTTTAAAAGATGAAAGAAAAATAATAAATTTACATTTATTTGGTGATAGGTGGGCACATGTGTTCCACAACAGGTATTTAAAAATCAGAGGACAAATTTGGGGCATTGTTGTTTTCTTTCCACCATAAGGGATCAACTGCTCAGTGGCAAGCACAATTACCTGCTTAGCTTACAGTAGGGGTTTGATTTGGTTTTGGTTTTTAATGTGTATGGGTGCTTTGCCTGCAAGTATGTCTGTGCAGCACTGTGCCTGGTAACCTCCAAGGACAGAAGAAAGTGTCATTCCCTGGATGTGAAAGAGCAACCAATGGGCTGCCTTTTTTTTTGTCTTGTTACATTTATTTAGTGTGTTTGTGCGTGTGTATGCCACAACATGAATGTGGGTATCAAAGGATTTGATTCTCTCGTTTTACCATGTGGGTCCAGTGGATTAAATTTGGGTATGGCAAGCATCTTGCTGGCCATTTTGAGGTCTTTGTTTTTTTTTTTTGTTGTTTGTTTGGTTTGGTTTGGTTTTTGTATTGTTTGTTGATTTTTTAATTTATTTATTTTGGGATTTTTTGTTTTTGTTTTGAGACAGGATCTCTCTGTATAGTCATGGCTGTCCTGGAGCTTGCTATGTAAACCACGCTGGCCTTGGGTGTAGGGATAGGTCCCGCCCTTTGGGGGGCGTGTTCGCCTCGGGCTAATGTCTGCCTATAAATTTGGCGAACGTGCTCCCAGCCGTCGCTTCTGCTTTCCTGGTCTCCGGAGGAACGGTGGTTCTGTAAGTCTATTTCTACATTAAAGCTATAGATATATATATTTTTACAATCTGTCTGCATTTGTTTACGCCGATACACTTGGGCTCACAGAAATCCTCCTGCCTCTGCCTTCCAAGTGCTTGGATAAAAGGCTTACACCACTACACTAGCAAAGATAAACCTCTTTATCACTTGCTAGAGAACAGCACCTGCACCTTTGGGGGAGGCCACACTCATCCCTGTGACAGTTTCCCATATCTTAATTGGAAATTATCTACCCAGCCAACCATCTTTGTTTCCATGAAAGAAAGCTGAGACTCAGGCAAGGCCCTTCATCAAGGACCCAAGAAGTCTATGACATCATCAGGATGAGAACCAGGTCTCTGAACTCCTGGGGTGCCCATTTAGGTCTGCTCTCCTGGCCCTGTCTAGGAGACCAGAGGCTGACCTGGCTTCCTAGGCAGCTCCTTCACCAATATGTCCAGCTCTAGCACCCAGACTCAGAGGTTGAAATGAGATCTAGAGAGGAGGTTTGTTGGCACCAGCCCTTTGTGAGGGGAGAGCTGTGTTTGAAACAGGGTTTTATACAGCCCAAGCTAGCCTTAAATGTACTATGTAGTTGAACTCAGAATTCTCCTGCCACTGCCTTCTGAGTTCCAGAATTACAGATGTGTACTTATGACCCAGTTTAAAATATCTTATTTTTAACCTAAAGGTGTTCTCTTCATTGCTACTCTCTTTGAAAAGGGCAGGAGTGTCGGGGGATCATATGTTCTCTAAGCAAGAGCTCTACCGTTGGGCTAATCCCCATCTCCTTCATTGTTATTAGTTGCTCTTCTTTGGTTTTGGTATTTTGAGGCAGTCTTGTTATGTAGCCAAGGCTAGCCATGAACCTACCCTATGGTCTAGGCTTACTTCAAACTTGTAATCCTCCCTCTTCAGCATCTCCAGTGCTGGGATTGTAGGCATACATTACCACACCTGACTCATTATTCTTTTTGTTTAATTATTCACAAAATGTTTTTCAAGATTTATTTTATATGTATGAGTATTTTGCCTGTATGTATTTAAGGGCATTTTGTGCATGCTGGTGCTCAAGAAGGCTAGAAGAGGGCGCTGGATTCCCAGGATCTGGAGTTAGAATGGTTATAAGCTGCCATATGGAAGCTGGTCATAATACTCAGGTCCTCTGGAAGAACTGCAAGAGCTCTTAATTGCTGAGCCATCTCTCCAGTCCCTAAAAAACATATATATTCTTTAAATATTCTTAAGTTTATATACAAATGGTAGCTTTATTATGGTGTATTCATACTCTTAACCATTCTTTAATCCCACTTCTAGATATTTATACTACAGAAATTCTTGTACTTGCAGAAAATATTTGGTATACTCTTTCTTATTTTTTCAACTTAATAAAATTATTTGTCATATGCAGATATGGTGGTTTGAATGAGAACAGCCCATGGGCTCATCTATTTGAATACTTGGTCCCCAGTTGGTGGAGCTGTTTGGGAAGGATTAGGAGATGTGGCTTTATTGGAGCTAGTGTGTCACTGGAGGTGCCCTTGAGGTTTCAAAACACTGGACCCCTTCTGAATCTCTCTCTTCCTTGTGCTTGTAAAGAAGATGTGAGCTCTCAGCAACTGTTCCAGTGCCATGCCTGTCTGCTGACATGCTCCCCACTGTGACAGTCAGCAACTCTAACTCTCTGAAACTGGAAGCCCCAAATTAACTTTTTCTTTCCTAAATTGCTCTGGTCATGGTATTTTTATCACAGCAATAGAAAAGCAGCTAAGACAATAGGTAATAAAAATAATGATATAGATAAGTATATGGAGAAACTATTCAGTGGATATTAAGTAACAGGTATGTTGTAAAATGCCGTAGGATGATTCAATAAACATATAATAAACATATTGTCCATCTGGGCAGTGGTGACACATGCCTTTAATCCCAACACTCAGGAGGCAGAGGCAGGCAGTTCTCAGTTCCAGGACAACCAAGGCTACACAGAGAAACCCTGTCTTGAAAAATCAAAAACAAAACAAAAAATTAACATATTAGTCATTAAAATAAATCTTTTTGTTTCGCTGGTTTTCACTTCTGCCTGTGTTTTCAAGACAAGGTTTCTCTGTGTACCAGCTCTGGATACCTGGAATTCACTCTGGCCACCCTGGTCTACAGAGTAGGTTAGCAGGGCCACAACAGAGAAACCCTGTCTCAAAAAACCAAAAATAAATAAATAAACAAATAAATAGGACTTGTGTTCAGATGCATTACTGTGTAAAGACTGAGTGACTGGAGCCTGTTTTGGTCCTTCTGGCTTTGTCTGTCTTCCCTAAACAGCAACAAACCAGCGGCTTCTGCTGCTTCCCACCCAAAGGTAACCTAGTCTTTGCCTGCTGCCTTTCAATCCTGCGTCACTCTTTCAGATCCCCAGCCAACAACATCTGGCCTTGAAGCCAAAGGTCACCAGTGCTCTGCCTTTCTGAATAAACACCTGTGAACTGGGAGAAGACAGTGATCCCAAAGCAGGTGTGCACAGGGGCACAGCAGGACAAGGAACAAGGATATGAAAAGCCTGGGAGATGTTGTTCTGACTTAGCCAGTGAATTGTCCTTTTGCTGTTTAGCCTCTCCTACACACCCCAAACATGCAGAACCAGACATGGTGGCATACATTTGTAAACTCAACACTCAGGATACAGCAGAAGGGTCACAAGTTAGAGGGCAGCCTATGTTATATAGTAATACCCTCTCAATTAAAAAAGAAAGAAAAAGTCCATTTCAAGTGATGGAGGTTCTTGGACAGGTAGAGGTTGGGAGAGGTGTCCTGTCATCCATAAGGAAAGTTCAGCTTCTCAGCTCATGCACATGGTGTGGCTTCTGCATAGGATATTTTCCCTCCATCTTATCCTGGCTCACTTCTAGTCATTCTCCAGATTTCAAATTATGGGCTACTTTCGACTAGAAACCTTTTCTTCCTCCTACCCCACCTCCGTGCAAGGGTTCTCTGCTCTCATGGCTTGTGCTTCTTTCCTTATTCAGCACTCCCCCACTAAAAGTTGCCCATGCTGCCGGGCAGTGGTGGCACATGCCTTTAGTCCCAGCACTCTGGAGGCAGAGGCAATGAATCTCTGTGAGTTCAAGGTCAGCCTGGTCTACAGAGTGAGTTCTAGGACAGGCTCCAATGCTACACAAAGAAACCCTGTGTCGAAAAAACAAAACAACAACAACAAAAGTTGTCCATGTTTTTGTCTCTCCCACTCCAGTTTAAGCTTCCTGAGATCAGGGGCTATGATTGTTTTGTCTATTCTATATTGATATAAATCAGAAGTGCTACATGGGTAAATAAAATGAAAGGCTAGAGAGCAAGGACTAGAGAACCCTCCACTTGTCTGGAGGATACACGGTTCTTGCCAGCCCTCAGGGAAGAGGCTCCTGGGCAAAGAAAGGCATAGCCTTTATTCTTCCCTCCTCCCTCTCAGTCTTATGTCCCGGGCATCTCAGTCGTTCCTCCTCTCTGGGATGTGTTTGAAATAAGCTTGACCTCCCTCTACTGGCAAAAATTCAGTACTGCCTCTGGGAATTCTTTCCTCTGGGGAAGTTCCTTCTATTTTCTCCACAATTCCAGAGTTCCCCAGGGACCGGAATATGAGTAGAAAGCAAGGATACCCATCCAGCAAACAGGAGGGTTCCAAGGTCTGATCTCACACCTTCCTCTCTCAATACCAGGAGCACTTTGTCCCACATTCTCACCTGTGTCCGTTTCCTGGGGTCTCCACATTCCTGCTAATTCACAGAGATGTTGATTTCTGGAGTCTTTGGCTGATACATCAATTCTGACTGTGGGGGAAAATTCAAAGATAGTTTGGGAACAGACCAAAAGAAAAATAAAAAAGCCTAAATAAGGGGCTCAGGAACTAGATAGGAATTCACATTCAAAACGAAACAAAGACCAGGGTTGAGAAGCTAGCTCAGGGAGCTGCATGCCTTTCTCTCTTTACCTCCATGGGCTCATAAACCAGAACTGCCTTTGGGGAAGATTTCCCTAAGCCCTTCATTCTGCCTGTATTATTACAGAGACAGAGGGAAGGACTGTGTTGAGGTCTTCAGGCTGAATGAGATACCAGACTTTAGAGACAGCTCTGACAACAGTCTCTCGACTCCTCCCCGTTCTCTTAGAAGGACTCGGCCTGGAGCTTACATCTTCATTGCCGTCTCTACTGAACAAGTGCTCTGGCTCCAGTCCACTCTCAGGGATGTTCTTCTCCTCCTCTGGCATGAGCTCATCCAGCCAGAGGAGTTCCAGTGGTGAAAAGACCCACTCCAGAGCTTTTCTGACTCCCACGAGGCCCAGTAACTGCAGAAACAGAAACAAGCCCCAGGGCTCTCTGCAACAGCCAGCCACTGGGACTAGCAGTCACGCTTCCTATTATTTCACTGAGTGAGATAATAACACAGTTCTATGAAGTAAACCCTTTCTGTTTGTTTGATAGTGTTTTGTTTTTGAGATAAAGTTTTATGTAGCTCAGGCTAGCCTTGAGCTCCTGATCCTCAACCTCTCAAGGGTTCATGTTGGGATCACAAGTGTGCATCATCCACCATCAGCTTTTTCTTCTCTTTTCTTTTCTTTTTTTTTCTTTTCTTTTCTTTTTTTGACACATGTTCTCACTATGCAGCTCTAGTAGCTCTGACTGGCTTGGAACTTGCTATGTAGACTAGGCTGGCCTTGAACTTGTGGTGATCCCCCTGCCTCTGCCTCCTGAGAATTACAGGTGTTCACCATACATCCACTTTCATTTTTTTTTTTTTTAAGACAGGATCTCACTTTGATCAGCCTCAGCCACCCAAGTACCGGGTTACAAGCAAAAACCTCTATACCCAGTTTGCAGTTTACTCCCACTGTACATAAAAGGCAACTGAAGCCCCAAGAGATAGTGACGCCCCTGAGGTCACACACCTGGTACATAGTAACCAGACTGATCCTATTGTAAGACTTGTGGCTCTTAACTTCCTCTTCTGTGCCTCACTGAGTAACAAGTGTCAGCATTGCCCTTGCAGGAGCTCAGTTATTTGCGGGGCCAGGGAGTTGTGGACAAGACCAAATTAGTTAGGGAAGTTGGTGAATCAAGAGTTCTAGGATTAGTTAATCCATAAGTATCCCCCAGCCATTTTCTTGGTCTTAAGATTTCCAACAGAAAGAGCCAGGGAAAGTAAGAGGAGTATTTTTTCAGCCACCCTCCAAGCTCAGAGTCTCTCAGAACTCCAGGTTACCATAAGTGGGAAGATAATGGCTGCAGGAGTAGACTTGATAATCCAAAGCAGACCCAGGCAGGCAAGCTGGATGGCCGTGAACAGGTGGACTCTGCTCAGAGGAACATGCCGCAAGAGCAGCATGTCTGGCTGATGTTTTGTTGGCATCAACAATAGCTGCACTCTCTTCATGAACTGGGAGAATGAGAGGAAAAGAAGGCAGGATGATGGGGTTAATTTGGAGGGTGCCACTGTTAGCTACAAGCCCTGCAAGGGGAAAGGAAGAAGGCTCCGTGGCCTCTCCATCTGGAGCATGAGAGCAGAGTGCCTATGTCCAGGAGAAGGAGGATAATGGACATGAGTGAGATTGGCAAGTGTGGGGAGGAGGAGTGAGGTTGCTAGGTGATTTGTAATGAGCTCACCTGGATGCTGCTGAGTGCTGCTACCCCCATGTAGAGGAAGATGCCGTAGAGCACAGGCATTGGGATGAACTAGTAGAAGTAGAGAGATAGCAAAGGAGCTTTTACCTTCCAGCCTCCCAGGTGCCCCACCTTAGGCCTTCAGACTGGAGCCTGCCAGGCCTTTCTTTTTCTTTCACATCCCACATACCTGATTCATTGAGTCTTTTCATGCCAATCACATGAGGTAGCTTGTTATTAGTGTCTGCACTTACTGATGAGAAACTAGAGAGACGAAGTGACTTGCCCATACCTCTCCTCTCATGCCTCTCCAATCTTTTTAATCCATCCAGTATTGCTGCCCTACAACTCTACATCCTTCCGCCCTGGCCTCCTGAATGCTGGGATCACACCGTACCACCATATCCAGGTTCCTCTTGTCTTACCATCACACGCCCCCTGCTCTCCATGCTCCATTCATATGCTGCTGTTTGCTCCTTACCCTTTCAAGACCTTTTCCTTTGCTATTCTTTCCTCCTAAAATGTTACTCATGCCCGGGCATGGTGACACACCTGTGATCCAGCACTTGGGAGGCAGAGGCAGGAAAATATATATAAATTCAAAGCCACCTTGGTCTATGTAGCAAGTTCCAGGATAGGCAGGGCTACACAGTGAAACCCTGTCTCAACCAACCAACCAACCAACCAACCAACCAATCAATCAATCAAATTCTCCTCTCTTGGACTTTACATCCACTCATGCTTCATCTCATTTCACTCTGGAAAGGTCTTCTCTGACTACTCAACCTGAAGTAGGCCTGGAACTGTGTAAAATTTAAAAAGATTTAGTTACTGCTATTACTATATGTGTTCGACAGCTTGCGTATGGAAGTCAAAGATGGACTTGTGGGGGTGGGTTTCTCCTTCTACCATGGTTTCCAGGGACTGCACTCAGGCCAGTCATCAGTCTTGCATGGCAGATGCTTTTGCCCACTGAACCATCTTGCCAGGCCTGCCCTAGCGCTCTTAATCACCTTACCCACTTTTATTTTTTTCACAGGAGTTATCATCTGAAGTCATCCTATTGCTTTAACTTTTAAAGATCTGTGCTCTATCACCAGACTCCGAGGAGGATGGAGACATATGTCATTGCCCCGGTATACCTCACCTCCAGTTCCTGGAACAGTGGATGGTATACCATTTATGAGAGTCAACCTACTTAGCAAGTGGTTAATCCAGTCCATCTGGCTTTCCTACTTACTGCAGTACTCTTACCCAGCCTCCATGACCTTGGCCCTGCCTAACCTCCGGCTCTTGTCTTTCTGCCAGTGACTCTTGTCTGACATTTCCACACCCTCCTTGACTACTTTGCTACTCGGTTTGTTTACCTTTTCTTCTATAGCTAGCTAGTTATATTATATAGGGTGTGTGTGTGTGTGTGTGTGTGTGTGTGTGTGTGTGTGAAGTTTCTGGTAAAGTTTGGTTTCATATTCCTTTTTAGTTCTTCTCCTCCCCTCTCTTAGGCACCAAGTACAGTGGGGTACCCAGCACAAGTTTCATAAGCCTTGAGAAAGAGCAAATGGTTTTTTGCTTTGAAGTTTCTCTGGGATATGAATACACACATAGTCTTAGCTTGTTGGGAGACTGGAACAAGGACAGTTCTAGAGCTCTGGGCATGATGGCATCCCCCTGTCCTACTCCACAGAACAGAAACCCTACTGGCCAAGAAATTAGGTACATTTTTTAAATCTTAATTTTTTAGATAAGGTCTCATGTAGACCAAGATGGTCTCAAACCTACTATATAAGTGAGACTAGCCTTGAACTTGAACTCCTGACCCTCTACCACCTAAGTGCCTGATCTATTTTGGTTTCTTTTGTTGTTATTGCTATTACATTCTCTCTCTCTCTCTCTCTCTCTCTCTCTCTCTCTCTCTGTGTGTGTGTGTGTGTGTGTGTGTGTGTGTGTGTGTGTGTGTACAAGCATGGAGAACAGAGAAGAACATGTTGGAATCAGTTCTTTGCTTCCATCTTGTAGACCTAGGCCCAATATCAGATTCAGGCCTTCAGGCTTGTTAGCTAATACCTTTATTCATTGAGCCATCTCAGACACACACACACCACCACCTCCACCACCACCACTTTTTTGTTTCTTTTGAGACAGGGTCTCACACTATTGCCCAAGCTGTTCTACAATTTATTGTATATGCAGACTAGCCTCAAAGTTGAAGCAAGCCTCCTGCCTCAACCTCTTGGCTCTGAGATTACAGGTATAATCCACCATGCTCTGGAAGTCTGGGTTTTTTAATCTGAGAAATTGGTGGGCAGTTACAAGTTACTTTACATCTTTAACCTTCAGGTTTCTCATTTGCAGAGTATGTGTGTCTCTCAGGGCTAGTTAACATGAAGATTATCGAAACCATGTGAGAAGAAAATGCAGTTCCTAAAACACTGAAGTATTCTAGCAGAGTCAGTTCTGTTGTTATTGCTGCACTGGCCCTCATCCTGGCCAAAATCATACCTTGAGCACAGGTGCCAGGAAGATGGAGACGCCTGTAAGGATGAACACCACCAAACCCGTCAGCCTCTGCTCCCTGTGGGGAGAAGGAAGAAGTGTGCTCCTGGAGGATCCAGGCTAGACCCCTTAACCAGGCCTAGTGCAGACCGGGCATCCAGAGAGGAGAGGAGGGAGTCCCTCTGTAGGTCACCTGGCAAAGGCCCCCTGCCCGCTGTCAGAACTGAAAGGAAAGACAAAGCACTCCAGCATGGGGCGTTGGGCCTCTCATCTGTCAGGTTCATTGTTCTGTTTTGTTTGGGTTTTTAAAAAATGCTCTATTACATTTTACTTATTTATACTGTGTATGTGCATGCATTACGTAAGTAGGTGCCTGTTTGGTGTATATGTGATGGTCAGAGGACAACTCGCAGGACTCAGTTCTTTCTTTTACCACCCAGGTCCCAGGAAGTCATGGGGTGTGACCGGAAGTGCCTTTACCCACCGAACTTCAGCAGCCCCCTGTGTCTTTTGTTTGTTTGTTTTGGTGGTTCTAGGAATTGAGCTAGGGCCTCATATGTACTTGGTGAGCACCACCACTGAATTCCATCCCCAGTTCCATAGTTTGTTTTTTATCGTGGTGGGAAATTAGCAGTTTCCACTGCCATAAAGAGTTGCATTTCATAATTTATGAAGTTAGTCAGTTTCATGCATTTCAGGTGGACTCTGTTTCCAATGGCCACACAGTTGTTTTTGTCATGGACTCTTTCGCGGTGTCCGTGGCAGGCTTCTACATTGAGTGAGGACAGTCAGGTGGCACCTCACCCTCCACGTCATCCTGACTACCTTCACCCTTACGTGTATAATGCTCTTCTTTCTGGGGCTGGGATTGCTGTTTGTTTGTTTGTTTGGTTGGTTGGTTGATTTGGTTTGGTTTGGTTTGGTTTTTCAAGACCAGATTTCTCTGTGTAGCTCTGACTGTCCTGGAACTCACTCTATAGACCAGGCTTGCCTCAAACAGAGATCTGCTTGCTTCTGCCTCCCAGTGTTTGGATTAAAGTTGTGTGCCACCACCACCTGTCTAATGCTCTTCTAGAGGCCCCTCACCCATCTCAGAGGCACCAACTTGCCCGGCTACAGTTCTTACGGGGCTTAAACTCAGAACTCAGGCTGCCCAAATAACTCACATATCCCGTATGTGCCACGCCCCTCTCACTCCAGCCCACTGACTCTATTCTTTACCTGATGCCCAGGAAGTGAGGGGCTTCACCAGGGACACAGGCTCTGCTCTCTCTCCGAAGACTATCCATATGGGCCAGAGAGAGGACAGTGGCTGAGACGTACCAGGGCAGCCCAAGTGCTGATGTGAGCAGCATCAAAACAGCTACACAGAAGAGGTCCAGGTGGAAGCCAGCTCCCTTCTGCAGGAAAAGTGGGTTGATTGGAAGCTAGAAGTGCCGTATGTACCTGACTCTGGAGTTTCTTTCTCTTGTCTAGGACCTGACCTGGCAGCCTTACCTGCAGTCTGTATTCTGCACGGTTGAGGATAACGGCTGTGATTTGCTGGTCCATGAAGATAAGGATAGACAGCAGCAGAGCAGGCAAGGCAGCTGCCACACTCAGCCACCAGGGGTTAGCTCCAAAAGGAGACACCAGCCAACCACGCCCAGGGAGTGTAGGCTGAGGGGACATTCCATGGACAGGTTGGAAAATGTCTCCGAGAACACCTCACCTGCACACCCTACTCCCACCTTGACACTCCACCTCCTCCTGCTCCAAGATCTTAAATTCTCGGTGGGAGCTCTCTCTCTCTCTCTCTCTCTCTCTCTCTCTCTCTCTCTCACACACACACACACACACACACACACACACACACACACCTCCTTCCATGTATCCCAGCGCCTTAAAAGAGAACAGAAAGAAGGGGCTAATCTGAATGGAGCCAAGGGCTCTGGACTTTGGTTCTCTCTGGAAGAAGAGTTGGTGAATATAACCTGCACACACTGCTTTGTTCTTATTCACAGCCTTTCTCCTTAGGTTCACACCCCACCCCCAAATCCAGAATGGGACAGCTCAGGTTCAGACCTGCCTTGGTCTGGGGCAGAGGTGGGGCAGGGTTAGGTGTGTCTGCGTCTGCTCTAATTATAAGCGTCTGTAGTGGGGAGGGGGCCCAGGTGATTGGTTGGGGTTCTGAACCCTAAAACTACCCCCATGAGAACCCCCTTGCTGTCCTGTCCTGGTGGGATCTAGGGGGAAAGGTTTCTATTGTCGAGGCAAAGTTTGGTACAGTACACTATCCTGCCTTACAGAAGGAGCTCCGGCTTTACAGAATCAGAGTTGGCATGAGGCGTGTAAAGAAGAGCAGGGTGTGTGGAAGTGGGCAGGGCCATGTCCATGGCAGGGAGAAGCCGGAACAGCATTTACTGAGTATGTGATCTGTGCCAAGCATTGTAGAAACTACACTATGATATGTAAATCCAAAACAGCCTATAGGAGAACAACTATCAATTATCCCATTTTTATAGACTAAAATTCTCAGAGGAGGTATGGTGATGCATGCCTGAAATCACAGCACAGAGGGTTTAAAAAGAAGGATCAAGAGTTCAAGGCCAGCCTCAGCTGTGTAGGGAATTTGAGGTCAATCTGAACTACAGGGGACTCTGTCTCCAAACAAACAAAGCTGCCTAGAGCCAGCTAGGAAGAGGCAGAAATGGAATTCAAACTCAAGCTGGCTGCTCAGATCCCATCCTCCAACACCTACCCTATGATAATAGCAACTGTATATGGCATTCTTCATTCCTTATGTGTCTGTTGAAATACCTCATTTTATCACTCAACGACTCTGTGAGACCATCATTTTTACTGTGTCTATCATGAATGAAGGAAACAGCTCAGAGGAAGAGAAGTATGGAATTTATGCATCTTATTACTCCAAAGTTGCTGGCCCCACCATCCCCCTCCTTCTGTCCAGCTCTCACCTTGAATTCTGTGGGCACCAAGAGCTTTGGTGTGGCTAGGCCCAGAAAAGCATCAAGGCCGCAGCCTAGCAGGATGGCCAGGACTGAGGAGAAGTCGCTGAACACCTTGCGCACCTGGCCATACAGTGGACAGTTTACTCTGGGCCTGCCATCCCATTTCTTCTTTAACCTTTCCCATTTGCAGACAGGATCCAGGGCCAGAACCAGACCTTTCCCACAGAAAGAGAAAATGGCACTCACCACAGAGGGGAAGAGGCGGCTATTCTTTACATGCTTGAGGGCCATGGCACAAAGGAAGGACGTAAAGAAGAGGAGAAGAGAGAAGAAGGCAATGTCTGGCACCGTGTGACAGCTGGGACCACGAGGGTAGCCTCCTTGCCGGATGCACTCAGTTGGAGACAGCAAGGATGCATTGACCAGGCCTAGGTGCTGCAGAGAGGAGTGGGGAGGTATTGGACAGTGGGCATTAGAGGAAGGGGAACCCACAGAGACATCAGGAACCCAGAATTGAGCATAGGCAAAATTCAAGTAACCAATGAAGCTTTCTTTCCTCTGTAGGTGGGAAGAGCTGAAGAGCTCTAACTCTTTTTCTTTCTTAGACCTTTCTAGGCGCAGGCACTCACCACACTTAAGACATCTGTGTCTTTGTGCTTTGCACTTGTCCACTCTGACACATTTCCTGGGAAGCAGAGAATTGCAGTGTAAGCCTCTTTCCTTGAGAAGCTTTTCTCCACAGGATTCTAATTTGTCCTTCCACCTGAACTAGAAAGTTCTTGATTCTGACCATTCTGCTGATTCTGTTGCACTTAAGAGTGTTCTCAAGCTGCTACTCCGTACACTCACACCCCCGGATTCCCTACCATCTGGGCCTCTGGTGCTGAGCACAAAACTGAGCCACAACACTTGCTCAAACATTGACCAAATGCATGAGCTCTCAGATCTGTGTGTACCGGAGCGAGAAGTGGTCTCATTCAGGACTAGTAGAATCAGATACAGATTAGAAAAGATACATTTTTAGCTAGATAGTTAATGGCTCGCGCTTATACTCTCAGCAGTTGAAGATGGAGGCAGGAGGATTGGGGTTCAAGGTCATCATTGCTTACATAGTCAGTTGGAGACTATACTGGGCTACGTGAGACCTTGTCTCACCCTGGAGACCTTCCCCACAAAGGACATCTTCCCCCATTCCTGATGCTACCTTCCATTTGGAGGGATCTATGCAAGTGTGACACCCCAAACCCCCCCCCCCAGTTATCTGCTTTCACTCAGAATGTGATTTATTTGACTGGTGACTTTAGGAGGTGAGACAGGCATGCCTGGTCCCACCCTTTCCTCTCTTCTCTCAAGAGTGACTACCTGGTTGGTGTATTTAGCTCTGCTCCTCTGGTGGAACCAGTCCCCATCCAGTGCTGCCATTCTTAGATGGGTATTTCTGAAGACTTCCCTCTTAGGAAGCCCAAAAGCCCATGTCAGGGCTGTCAGAAATAAAGACAGTCCTGGGATTTCCCTAGATTTATTTTGTAACTGATCCTGAACCAGAATGGAAACTTCTGGTTATTGGATAAGTACTCAGCCTTTCCTGAACTTAGTCCATTTCCCACCTCTTTCCTCACCTGGCTGAGGTACCAATTTCCCTCACCTCCTGGGCCTGGGAATTGACAGAAGCAACCCTGGGCAGGAGATCCTGGCCTTTGGATTGGATAGGCACGGATCAAGTTCAGCATTTTCCCCACAGCATCATAAATGAAGATGAGGCTGATAAGAGCACAGAATCCTTCCTCTGTGAATCGGGTGAAGTAGCGCACCAGCAAGCTGGCCTCTGTAGCCACCAGCACCAGGCAAAACGTGGCCACCCAGATGCCCACCCATAGGCGGAAGGGCAGGTAGTCCAGGCTGTGATCTCTGTGGGAGTGAGGACAGTCAGGGCTGACTGTTCCCCACCTAACCCAGGGCATAGAAAGCCCTCACCCTCTCTTCACCCACCAACGGGCTAGAAAGGTGAGAGAGGTCTCCTACCTGCTAAAAGAAAAGAGCAGGCGCTCAAACACCAGCACTGGCCCCGTGCTGCTAAGGATGGTGAGGGGCTGGCCTGCCATCAGGCAGAAGGCAGCTCCAGCCACCGCTGTGCCCAGGAAACTCTCCAGCACTCCCTGGAAGTAGACATAGCTCTTCATAGGACTCTGGCATCCCAACATAGGAGACCAAGGTCCTGTGGAGTCCCAGCACCACTCAGTCCCAAGAGGTCAGACAGGTAGGACATCGGAGTTTATGCCAAACCCATCATACAAACCCACGCACCTGGGCACCTTCAGTGGCATCTCCCAGCAGACCCCCAAAAGTGATGGCGTTCGTTACTGTGGCCAGGTAAATGTAGAGCACAGCTGAGAAACACTGGGGGTGTAGGGCGTCCAAGAAATCGCTGGGGTACCAGCATGCCTTCCGGCGCACGTCCTGGACAAGACCCCCAAACAGCCTCCCACCCGTGGGTCGTCAGTGATCCAGATTTCCACACCCTGCACCTGCATCCTGCTTTTCTCTGTATCCAGGAGAGCCCCTCCCACATTGCCTGCACATTTCGATGCCCCTGTTACTCTTCCATAGGATCCCACCCCTTGTTCCCACACAGCTTTCCTCACCTGCCCGTCCTTTGTAACTCCGGGCTGGGTGCATGCTGGCCATGGTGGTGCCTGTCCCTTGCCTGGGCCGCACTCCCACGGGAGAGGCCGGTGACTTCCTGCAGTTCTGAGAGGGGTCTGGGCAGAAAGAGAACCCCAGATGCCCTGACATCTCCGGCCAACGTGAGATTTGACTTCAGAGTACGTGACGCCCCGCCCGCTGGAGGCTACTAAGGGCGCCCTCAGATTGTCCAGGAGAAGTTAGATGCAGGTCACAGTCTCACTGTCTGAAATCCAAACTTAGCTGGGGAGCGCGGTAGACCCATAACCAAGGGAAAGGTCTGTGTGGAATTAGGACCCCGGGTACCTTTTGTGCTGAGAGGGTAGGCATTTGGGCGGGGGAATCCGGGCTGTCCGGTCCCACCGACCTGGGGGTAGAGTTGTCACCTCCTGTAGAAAGGCATCCAGGGCTGCCAGAAGGTCATGAAGATTGTTTGCCCGACGAACTGACCACTGGAATTGCTGCATTTAAGGTCACAGGGTGGACAGTAAATGCATTATTTGGACTCTTTCATGTGTTTGCACTTGTATTTTCTCAAAATCACACACAAGCTACAAGCAGAGAAATTCATAATTCACCCACAAGTGCATACATTTGTTCATTCATTCATTCTGTGCCTATTGTAATGCGGCTACATTGGTAGCTATGGAAAGGTCAGCCCCCATGTTACAAAACACAAAGCCACACTCTGCCTCACTGTTATTTCTTTTCTTTCTTTCCTTTTTTTTTTTTTGTTTTTTGTTTTTGTTTTTGGTTTGGTTTGGTTTGGTTTTTTGGAGACAGGGTTTCTCTATGTAGCTTTGGAGCCTGCCCTGGCACTAACTCTGTAGATCAAGCTGGCCTCGAGCTCACAGAGATCCGCCTGCCTCTGCCTCCCGAGTGCTGGGATTCTACCACCGCCTGGTCTCACTGTTATTTCTGATTAGAGTCTATACATATGCCCCACACACAGAGATATGCACACAGAGGAACACCTGCTCCACTCACCGGGTCACTGAGGAGGACAGCTGCTGCCCGACCCATCTCATGGTAGCTCCTTCCCAGGGTAGGAGGACCCAAAAGGAGACAGAAAAACCTGAAGAAGGAAAGGGGCCTCTAAGCTGCTTTCTCATGGGGCAGCACTGCCTGCTAAGAACAGCCTCTGACACTTAGCTCTGATTTCCCTACCTGCTCTAGTGCACACCAGCCCTGCAGAATGACCCCTGGGTAGCATTTCCTAGACACTCTTGGGGAGCTGGATCCAAAGACCCCACCCTCCTTCTGTGCCCTGGAGCCCTGAGTCTATCACCTCACCTGCTAGGCAGGATCACCTCTGTAAGAGGTTCCAGCACCACTGGATTCCGCAGTCTCACGAAGGCCCCTAGTGGCTGAGCCAGGAAGCCCAGCTCTCCTGCCAGCACTGCTGCTGCCTCTGCTCCTGGAGGCAGCTTCTGTTTCAAGGGGTTCTGGAGCTGGATTGCAGAGTGTGAGAGATCATTTAGGGAGGGAAACGCTGGCAGAAACTCAACTAAAGAGCCTGGTGGAGCGTGGATCTCTTAATTCCTGATCTCCCTCCCAGCCTTGCCCAAGGAAGGGCCACAAACCTTCATGGGTGTGTCCTCATCAAAAGAAGCATTTCTGAAAGCATTGGGCCCTGCAAAGCAGGAATGCATGGTGGTTAGGAGCACAAGCCTTAGGGGCAGGCCTACTCGAGGATACCTGTAATACAAGCCTTCCTAGTAACTGTCATCAGAAGATAGTGCATTCAAAGCTCCCGGCACAGTAGCTGCCACGGATACCCCTTTGGAGAGCCCTGACTGGTATGGCCCTGGTACTCCCACTCTTCCGCCTTCACCATTACCTGGTTTCCTTTTGCCCATGAATCTTGGCCTGAGGAATGAGCCAAGCCGAGGCCACTCCTGGCTCAAGAAACATAGATGATACCTGGGCTCCTCCTATCCCAGAGTCTTGATCCTAGGCCCAAAGAGGAACCTCTCACCTCTGCAGGGCCTGATGCCTGTGGTCTGAATGTGGTGCTGGGGTCTCTGCAGCAGCAAGGCTTGGAGCTGTCCTCTCAGTTCCGGGCTCAGTGACTCCCCACTGATCACTTGTTCTGCAGAAACAGGCATGAAGTTCAAACCCCCACTCAAGAGCTCTCTATCCCATCCCTGGTTCCCTTCCCTGCTTCTCATTCCTTGAGTCTTTCCTTCTAGAGTCTCAGGAAAAGCAAAGGCTGCTGAACCGCCCCTTCCCACATTGTTTTGAGACAAAGTCTCACTACATAAACTGGGCTGCCCAATTCTCAGTGGTCCTCCTGTCTTCTGCCTGCCAAGTGCTGAGACCTCCGCTGCTTTTCCATCACTATCTCTGTGATAGAAACAGCAGTCCCTAGGGTAGGATGGGGTGGGATAGGCTCTGGAAGATTCTAAGATTTGGGGGGAAATTCCCAGGGAATGGAATGTCTCCCAAGCCTACCCACAAGCTCCAGGAGGCTCTGAGCTTGGCAGTCCAGCAGTACAATACCCTCAGCCAAGAGGCTTCGAAGGTTCTGGAGGCTGGGTAGTGCCAGGGTAGGCACATGGGGGGCACTCCACCGGCCCGCATCTACTTCTAGCTTTTCTTCAAACAGCATCCACCTGTGATAAAGGGAGAGCAAGTGTTGCTGGTAGACTCCCTCCCATGTCTAGGACACAGGCAGGGCAGTGTGGCTGCCCTTGACCCAGTTGTACAGACGGTCTCTCTCCCTGAGCAGTCAGTCACCCTTCACTGGGTCTCAGAGAACTCAGAACCATGTTGTAGAGGAATCTCGTGGAAAGAATACAAGGAGAACATCCTACTTTGCAGTGGGAAGGATGCTGTAGAACTAGCCAGGTTCCACTCACCTGCCTGTCTCCCTCCACTCCAGCGCCTGGGGCCAGCCCAACAGCTCGTTTAGTTGAATGAAGAGCAGAGGATCCTTGGATACCCCCGATTCCCCACTGTCTGTGTCTGAGGGACCACCAAGGCTGGGACCAGGGCCAAGGCCACTGTCCAGTTCCTCAGCAAGAACATTTTCATGAGCACTGGAATGTTCAAATTCCTCTTGCCCTGGCAGCTTCATCTTGAGGAGGCTTGCACAAAACCTTGTACTCTGTGCTGTGCTGTGCTGTGCTGGGGCCCTCTGGCTGGCCCATTTATACTGCACCCCTTACCACAGCACAGGACAAGCAAAGCCAATCCTGTTGGCTCCAGAAAATACCAGCCATCTCCTCCTCTGCTTGTTTTCTGACCCCTGCTGGCCTAAGTGTTTGTAAGACTGACCTAGCCATTCCCAGACCTTTCAGAAACGCCCCACCTGTGTATGTACATCAGGTCTGACCTCACTGTATTTTTTATAAATAAATAGGAGTAACTGATCCCCAGCCCAGGTTCTGTTGCCCCTGGCCATCCTGTATCAAATATTGACACTACAAATCCAGGACTGTTTAGGTGTCAACAATATAGCACAGGGGCCACAGACACACATTTGGTCAAAGAAGGAACTTAATGAATAACTAGGTTTGTGGAATCTAGACAGGGCAAGTCAGACAGAAGATAGAGGGCTCTTAAGTGGGCTGACTTTGGAAAGTGGAGACAGGTCATGGAGAACACATGCCTGTGTCAAAATTCTTTTATCCAATGTCTGGAAACCCAATTTAGATATGTGCCCCTTTAACTCAGACCCTCGCTGAAGGAGGTAGAGGGGTGTGTATGTGTGTATGAGTTCCTGGAACCAAAGTTACAAAAAAACAATGTGGTCCTTAACCAAATTCTATTGATTCTACCTTCCAAATGTACCTAGAGTCCAGCCACATTTCCCAGCTCCAGCACTGCCGCTATGATCCAAGCCACTACCATCTCGCACCTGAATTATTTCGGTAGCCCACTAGCCTTTTGCAATAATCTCTTTGGCTTTGGCTCTTTCTCACTTCCCAAGGTCCATATTCCGAGCAGCAGGATTTTCTTTCTTTCTTTGTTTGAGACAGAGTCTCACTGTTTATCCCTGGCTGGCCTGGAATTTGTTACAAAGACTGAATTTGTTACAGAGACTGAGTTGGTCTTCTTGGACTCTCAGAGATCTGTCTGCCTCTGCCCCCTAACTGCTGGCCTTAAAGGTATGTGCCACCACCCCAAGCTAAGGATTCTTTTAAAAATATTTTTAGGGCTAGAGAGATGACTCATTGGTTAAGAACATTTGCTGCTCTTCCAGAGGACCCGGGTTTGATTCCCAACACCCACATGACAGCTTACAACAGTCAGTAACTCCAGCTCCATGGAATATGACACACTCTCTTCTGGTCTTCTCAGGTAAAAGGCACACAGATGATGAACAGAAATACATGGCAAAATACCCCCAACCCAAGACCCCCCCCCTACTGCCCCTCCAGTCTTTCTAACCTGGACCTGTGGCACAGGCCTGTAATCCCAGTTGCTTGGGAGGCTGGAGCACTACACGAGGACAAACACACACACACACACACACACACACACACACACACACACACACACACATTAATGAGCTGAGCCTCGAGTTCAACCCCTTCCGATTTATATATAAGTAAGGTCACTCCTTTCTCCAGCTGCAGGCCTACATAATGTACCTTTTTTAAAATTTTGGTTTTGGTTATTTATGCAAGGTTTCTCTGTGTAACCCTCGTTGTTCTGGAACTCTCTCTGTAGACCAGGCTGGCCTCAAACTTACAGAAATCCGCCTGCCTCTGCCTCCCGAGTGCTGGAATTAAAGGCATGCGCCACCACTGCTGTCTACATAATGTATCTTTAAAAATGTCTTCTCCAAGATGAAGTTCTGTGAATAAGAAAAAGGAAGAGATCAGCACACACGCTCCCTGAAGTCCTGAGTGCCTGAGGGGAAGGGCTTCAGGCTGCCTAGGCAGCAGTATTAGTTGCATCTCTTTTTTTTTTTTAAATATTTATTTATTTATTATGTGCACAATATTCTGTCTGTGTGTATGACTGCAGGCCAGAAGAGGGCACCAGACCTCATTACAGATGGTTGTGAGCCACCATATGGTTGCTGGGAATTGAACTCAGGACCTTTGGAAGAGCTCTGAGCCATCTCTCCAGTCCCTAGTTGCATCTCTTGCTGCTGCTGGTGACAGCACCAACCCACCCTTCTGAATACATCTCCATCCTTCTTTTGCTGCCTTCTTTCTACCCTCCTCCCCTCCAGCCTCCAGCCCCTTTTCTGGGTAATGAAAAGTCTGGTTCTGCCCAAGAGACTTTGCTGTTCTTTACAAGGAATGTTTTCTCCCTGGGTCTTCACATGCCTGGATCCTTGCACGTAGGTCTCATCTCAAATATTACTTATTCAAGGAACCTTCCCTCTGGAGTCATTCTATGATATTTCTGTTTTGTTTCTCTTACTTAGCTGTTATCACTACTAGTAACCTTGTTTATTGTTTGTGGTTTATTGCCTGCCTCTCCACACACACACATACAGCTGTACAGCCCATGAAGCGGTATCTTACTTGACTTGGCCCTGAGCCTTGGGCAGCCTGGCACATAGTGTCTCTCAATAAATATTTGTCCGATGACCGCATAGAAAGGAAAGGGTTGGGTCAAGAATCGCGCTTCTTCTGGGAGCCACACGAGGGCGCTGCTCCCCATGGCCTGAATCGCAGGAGCCGCTCCCTAAGGCCGAGCGGTTATGTTTTTGTTTTTCTGTCAAGGCTTGGAAACGGCAAGATGGCAGGGAGAAGTATATGAATCTCTGCCTAGTCCTGGCCCAATGCAGACTGGCCCCGAGGGGTGGCATGAGGAGGGTGGAGGTGCCTCTCAGGATGGGGAGGGGAAGGACAATCAGGTTCGTTTGACTGAGAATCTAAGCCCTCGCGGGAAATGGGATTCAGTGTCCATCCTCCAACCTCCCCAATGCTTCAGGAGGTTGGTCCAAGGCAGAGGAAGGATTCATGAAATCACTGAGGTGGTTTCAGTCCCCAGAGGAGCCGAAACTGGCTTAGGGGCTGAAAGGGGAGGGGAACCCCTGTGACCATTCCTTCAAGAATGTGTCCCAACCTTAGGGGGCAAGTGACTCAAGAAAGCTTGAGGGGATAGAATCATGGGTTTGGCATGAATAACCCCAAACCCACATAAACACTAGCCACCATAAATTCTGCCAAAGTTCAGGAAAGTCTGTCCTTGCCTATCTCTGGCCCAACACCGAGAGTTCCTTATAAATGCTGGGACCACCACACTCCTCTCCACGCTTCATTTCAACCTCTGAACCTGGGTGCTCAGAGCTGGGCGGATTGGAGAAGGAGCTGCCTAGGAAGCCAGGTCAGCTTGGAGGCCTCTGGTCTCCTAGACAGGGCCAGGAATGCTGTGTATAGGAACAGCCCTGAATGTGCACCCCGGAGTTCAATGACCTGGTTCTCATCCCGATGACATCATAGATAGACTTCAGGGAGACCTTGATGAAGGGCCTTGTCTATGAGTCTCAGCTTTATTTCATAGACACAAAGATGGTTGGTTGGGTAGATAATTCCCAAGATTCAAATCTTCCTGCAGTAGCATATGGGATGAGTGTGCCCGCCCACTCCCCAGATGAAGGTAAGTGGTAAAGAGATCCTTGCTGAACAAAACAGAGCCTGATGTGGTGGCACAGACATTTATCCCAGCTCTCTGGAGGCAGAGGCAGGTGGATCTCTGCCTCTGAGATTTTGAGACCAGCCTGGTCTACACAGAGAGCTCCAGGACAGCCAGGACTACACAGTGAGACCTTATATCAAAAAAACCAAATAGCTGGTCAGTGGTGGTGCACAACTTTAATCCCAGCACTCATAAGGCAGAGGCAAGCAGATCTCTGAGTTTGAGGCCAGATGGTCTACAGAGTGAACTCCAGGACAGCCAGGGCTACACAGAGAAATCCTCTCTTGAAAACAAACAAGAGAAACCAACTAAACAAGCAATAAACCAAATAACAACAAACAACACACAAACCAAAACAGGAATTGTCTATACCTAGTAGTCGTGACAGCTAAACCCACTCTGCAAGAATCTGTACAAGAGATCTCATCAATAATTGTACTTAGAACAACACTTTAACAAAAGGTGTGGAGAGAGAGAGAGAGAGAGAGAGAGAATGTGTGTGTGGTAGGAGAACAACTATCAGAATTCTGATCTCTGCTGCCTGTGCATCTCAGGGACTGGACTCAGCTCCTCAGGCTGAGTGGTGAGCATCCTTCCCCACCAAACCATCTCACTGACACTCATGCATGCCTTTTTTGTCAGTAGTTTTTAACTCCTTCAAAATCTGGACTGGAATGTAGATTAGTTTGTAGAATATTTTCCTAGTATGTGTGAAGCCTGGGGTTCAGTTCTTACCATTGAATAAACAGGATGCGGTGGATGCCTGTGATCCCAGCTCTTGGGAGAGGGAGGGAAGCAGGAATTAGTTCAGAATTGTTCTCAGTGGCCAGCTTATGAGCTTATGAAACATGTGACCCTGTCTCAAAAAAAAAAAAAGAAAAGCAATAGAAAAAAAGAAAGTTACTTTTTTACCCTTCATTTTTATAACATCTGCTGTTCACACAACTCCATTACGATCCTGAAATGATGTTCAAAGGCAATAACCTACGTGCACACTTAGTCTTCAAATGAAATCAATACCGGGAGGCAGGCACAATGGAACAACTTAAGTTCCAGATACTCAGAAGTAGAGGCAGAAGGAGTGCTTGAGCCCAGAAGTTCAAGGTCAGCCTGGACATCATAGCAGGATACACCTGATCTCAAAACAAAATCATTCAATATGTAAATCCTCAGTCTAGAAATATATATATATATATATATATATATATATGCTTACCAGGAATATGACAGCTATAAATACTGACCGATGCAGGTATCACCAAAACAAGCATTCCATTCTAACTTCCTTCTAGGAAAAGCTCAAGGAAAACCTCTATATTTTATATAAATTTGAAATAGGTTTAAGCTCAAGTAGTCAGGTTTTCAGCCAGGAGGAACCCAGCAAGGCAGCTCAAAAGAAGCATGAAATGTACAGTGATTTATTTGTTTTCCATTTTATGTATTTTAAGATTTATTTTATGAGTGCCCCCTACT